TATTGAAGTAACTTGATCAGAAATTAGGCAGAAACGCACTGCGCAAGCTCGGAAGACGTGTCCATGAAGATGTCTTGATTCTTGCGAAAAATCACAAGAAAAAGTTAAGAAAAATAGTGAAAAGTAAGGATTAAGGATTTCTTTATCACAGTGGGATGATATTCTTATTTTCAACACCCTGTTAAAGTATATTAAAAAACGTTTTGTATGCCTTCATTGACCATATGAAAAACGAGCAGAGGACTGGGAATGAGCACCTTAAACTGTCCATGTTGATAAAAATCTGTTTTCACTATAAGAAACAGAATATCTAAACTAGTAAACTGGAGTAGTTTTAGTTGAATATCAGCAAGGTTACGAGCATTCAAAATGTACCAAAAACGTGAGGCTGGTAAGTTCACTCAAACCTTTGCAATTTCAAACACCTGTAATTTCTGGTCCTTAAATGTCAGAGCATTGAAACTTTCAGATCTTATTCATTGTGATAGCAATGATATGTTAAACATCTTATAAACTAAGGCATTACGATAGCCACGTGCTTTTTCATATGGCCGAGTACGAAGTCTTCCCGATTAACCGCCATTGTGTCTTAAGACATACGCATGCGTAGTGCGTTTCTCCCATGTGTCACGTTTGAACCTATAACAAGCTTATGGAAGAGAATTAGGAAACCGCAAAAAATAGAAAATGATAAACGAGATTCCGAATATATATTCATTGTTTTGCTTGATATTCAACCATAAAAACGAAATGAAGTTTGATTACAAATTGCTATAAATCGGTCCAAAACCATCATCACTGAGGCAAGCTGTCTCAGATTATTTGAATAGGTTAAAATATGTCCCGCACAACGAGTCTGGAAATGAAATAACTTACAAAATATGCCTTAGCATTCTCGTTTTTTAAGCAAGTACCACGACGTTTTCTTACCGTTTTCATGACATGTTTCTTTACATGATTTTGATAGTTCTCCTATTGTAGGTTTGACAATATTCCTTGGTGGCCAATTATTATTACCACAAAAGTCCTGTCAAAATATGGAGAATAAATTAGCATTACACAAAATTCACAGACTAAATTACGAGCAGAAAGTTCATGTAGATAGACTTCTTTCAGTTCATGCGAATGCAGCTCTAAAAGGAGGATAAAACAATGATTCTAGTTCTCACGAGGGAAAAAAATCTTTTGTTTGGTATTCCAGGACGAAGCTGTTTCGACGTCACACGCAAAAAGTCTATTGAATGAAGTAAAACATAATAAGTTAYATATTTTTTTCACTGACCTGGTTCTGGATAAATTTATGAACTCTTTCCAACATTCCTTCGTGAGTAAACTCGAAAGGGAGGTACGGCTTAACCTAAAAAAACATGAGTAAACTAAGAAATCGTGGATTTCTTACTAAAGCAATTATATATTTCACTCAAATTTAAATGAAGTGAGCCAAAATTTCAATCCTTTGCTCYTTAAGAATAGTTCTAAGTACAAGACATTTCTTGTAACTAACTCAAACTTAGCAAACTGGCTTGTCAACCTATCCTTGGTTTGCAATACACGTCACAGCGGCCATCTTGGAGGAACTTCAACAAGGATTTCTCATTAGTATCTATCTATCTATTGTTCATTCATCCAACATGGCTGCTGTTCTTTTGTCTTTTAAGTCTCATGGGAATGATTGAAATGAAAACGAGCAATACRCAGTCTGCAGAACATGCTTATTCTCTTGTTTCTGGTCATGCTATTTTTATTCTTAGTAACATTAGAGTGGTTTTCATAAAATAAACCTGTGAAACAAAGTGCAATAATTAGAGTGTAATAGATCGTAATAGTCGCATAGAGACAATAAAAAACAAAAGAGCCAAAGTATAATAGCGATAAATACGCTAAAGTGTGTTTCACGGGTTAATGAAAACCACTCTAGTCGCTCGATCAGTTTCTTTCAAGGTAAAATGTATTTGAAAGAGCACAACTAAATCACTCACTGGCTTTGAGAGCATGATTTTCCGCATTATAGTTTCAACAGCACTTGTATTGCCAATATTAACAGTATATACATGAGGTTCTGATATAAACTCCTCTGCGTATGGGTGCTGTGATGTCAACTGCAACGTAAATCATTTATCATAAGTATTTTAAAGTATGGACACTGAAAAAAAGCGCTTTCCTTGAAGGTTGTAAATTTTATGGAAATATGATTGTAAATTAAATTTCAAATGTATGTAAATTTTCTGTAAATTTTGTGTGAATATGATGTAAATGAAGGGTGGTGAAATTTTCTCGTTTAAATGTTAAAAAATATAAAAAATTAATAATACCGATAAAAAAATAAAATAAATAAACTTAACTAAACTAAACTAAAATAGATAAATAATTAAACAATTGACAGTCTTACCTTTCGCAATGTAGGTTTATCTCTGAAGAATTGAGTGTTTAAACGGCTTTTTGGTGGATCGTACTAAGAGCAAATTAGATAATATTATGAACCTTGCAAAATGAAGCATGGAATACATGATAGTACATGTTGCCACGGTAACAGTCAYGGGCTTCCTGTCTTTTTCTGAAAGCCAGAGGAAGGGGAATGGGATGAAATATTTTTTCCTATTTCGTCACTAGTCCCCAACGGTCAATATGAGGGTTTACAAGGGAAGCCCGAAAAAAAAAACAACAAACAAACAAACAAAAAAACGAGGCCTGCCAGGGGAAGAGGGTATGGTGACGTATCTCTTACCTTTGGATTAAGGAAGAAACAGCCATTTGCAATAGCTTCTAGTGGTGCTGGACCTTCATATGGAAAGCCAAGTCCAACAAATACCTTGATAAAACACAGCAAATATCTTCCATTTAAACTTTGTGCAGCAAGAATGTTTTTTTTTCTGTGAAATGCTTAGGATGGCAGTTTGGTGTTGGCAGAGGTAGCCTCCTTTGCAGATATTATCAGTATCGGTCATACGTTTTCTTTCATCACTATACTAGTAACGGCTGCAAAGGAGGCTATGACAGGGGGGTCGGGTTTAGGATTTTTTCGAAGAGGGGGGTAGGGGGGAGGGAAAGCGTTTCCTTCAAGGTGTATTAGTGTCATATCTATTTCACAGTATTTTTGACGACACAAAAGACCGGYTGCACGTACCATGGTACTCTGAAGTAGTTTCTGGACTTCCAAAGGAGAAATGACTCCATGGTTTATTACATACTCAGGGATATACTTTAACTTTTTTAATTCGTCTTCTTTTGCCTGAAACAAAAGAAAGATTATATCAAAGGACTTATGTCCCATAAGATGGCTGGTAGAGCATGTGTAAGCCATCTTTGTGAAGAGTTAATYTAGGACTGGAGTAAGCTGTAAAGGCGTTTCCCGTGAAACAGACACTGCTGTCAAATGAGCGAAAAYTCARATGTTAGTTCAGTGTCTTAAAGGAGTTGTATTTATTTTAAAAGAAAGGTTCATGCTAAATTTTCGTCATAAAATTTCCGGTCTTTTCAAGTACTTTTTAAGCACAAAAGTTCAGCGATTTGCAATTGTTTTTTTTAAGTTTACTGTTTTTGAAGATCTTGTTTGACATTTATTTGCATTAATGGCGGCAATTTTGCAAAAAACAACAATTAAGGTAGACTGCAAAAAATTCAAGGAGTATTCCAGGAGTTTATGTATTTTCCGCCTATTTTYAAGTGCTTTTTTCAAATGACTTATCAATTCCAGGACTTTTAAAGTAGGTAAGGATCAACGAACCGGCCTGTGAAAAGCAATTAATTTTTTTCTGGAATTAGTATTTTTAAAAACTTTTTTCTAATCATCTTTAAAAAGTTGATTTACTAGCTGAAAATAAACAATAAACAATAAAGACGATTTCATAATGCAAGTAACTTACTAATCCTCCAATAGTGGCGTGTATTTCTAGGTACTTATTGATAGTGTCTAAGAATTTCCTATTGCCGAACTCCTACAATGGTAAAAATGAAATTCAATTAGAAGACATGTAAGCAACACTAAAATATTTTTTTCTTAGCGTATTTACCCTCCAAATATTGTGATGCTTGCCATAAACTAGAGCTCTTGGTTTCTTTTTCTTTACTGGAGCAGTAGGAACAACAGTCTTACCAACGACAAAGCCCAGAAAGGAGTTATCTGGACTGTGAGCTGAAAAAAAGAAAGATTCGTTAAACATAAAGCTTGATGTCTGTCGTTARCACTTATTAAGAATTATATCATTCCCGTCCAATGATGCTCGTACCAKGCAACCGGAGCGCGCGCACRAGAAAAGGCACCATCCCATCATTTAGCGCACGCATTATTATTGTGGTYTARAAGAASAATTTGATCGTCTACGCGAAAGGCAAAATTTAATCGTTTAAAATATGCCTGTTTGCATGGTAAATTTCCACTTTTACTCGTTCTATTTCKAATTTAATACTGTGAAAAGGAAAWTATTCTCARCTCGCGATGCTTTGTGGGATGGTGCCTTCCTTCTCAAACCGCGCGCTGATTGGCTAAGATCAAACACGTGATCAACTGGCCCAGAACCCGCACTTTTGCCATCTAGCAGACTGCTGATCGTAAAGACTCTGGGCTCGAGATTGAATGATACTATACCCAGAGTGCACTAAAAATCCTAGCAGTAGAAACAGAATAATCCCAGTAAAATACTTACGAAACATTGTCATAAACTGAAGCAGGTTAAGGTTATGCCGACCCCAAATACCCATACGTCCTCCRGGTATTTTCCCTGTGAATCCGGCATAGTTAAACTGTGCTTCTGTACCAAAAGAGTCAAGTATACGAAATTTGCATCTGCGGATTACAGAAATTGTATTTACATAAGATTTGACAAAAGAAAAGTTGCACCAATACACTTACAGCAGTGAGACTGACTGTAACTGTCAAAAAATACTCACAGGAACGTATTACAAAAAAGAATAGTAAATTTTAAACTGCAACAATAGTAACAACATCAACATCAACAACAGCAACGACAACAACAGCAGCAGCAACAACATTATTATTATGATGATCATCATGAACATGATCAAATGACTGTCCAATTAGCTTGATTAGTTTTTGTTATCCTTTTGACAAGTGATGTGCGACAAAAGACAACATGAAAGCCAACAAACTCTTTACAGTTTCTTAAACATTACATTACAAGAGGGTGCTGCTCTTACACTCACTGGCTAAGATTATAGTTACTTGAAATTGTCCACAAAAACGTTTCAAAAACTGAATTAGTTATTGAGGTGTCTTTTTTTATATAGTACTAATAAATAGCAATACCAGTACATATGAGGCACGATTAGCGCTAATCTTGAGTTAGGATTAACGCTAATTTGGCTTTGAACAACCCGRTCAAGTAGATTAATAAATTACTTACTTAAAATATGGCATTAATTGTCCAATCCTTAGCATTATTTGTTTGATACCATAGTAGTCAAGATAAATAAGATCAAAATCATTGGGGATTCTAGTAGGGCATGCCTTTCTCTTGATCCCTGTCCTGCCCAATACCCTGTGGAAAAGAATTATCACTTTTTTATCACTGACAGTAAGTTGTATGAATTCGTGCAAATAGCCTTCAAAACAATCAGAAAAAATTAAAGCAAGCCGCTGACAAATCAGACTTAGTCCAGGCATATAGAAATGAGAAGAAAGTTACAGTGCTTAGAAGGAGGCAACTTCCGGGAGAAAGACCCTTAGGAATAAATTCGGAAAAATTAATTTCCGACCTCGCTGGGATTCGAACCCATATGACCTCGGATTTGTACTACCGATGCTCTACCAGCTGAGCTACAAGGCCAGACTGGGWGCAGGTCGRGGTGAAATAGATGTTGGGTTGCGGTAATAGAATAATGTAAAGATAWGAATATGAGGACCGCATGGCACTAGTCCAGGCACGCTATGCAACAGGAAATCTCTTCGTATGTTGTGTAATGTTAGCCCCCTTTGCAGACTACTCCCAGGGAAAGAGATTTCGTTTTTCTCCTTGGCCTTCCTGTGTTACCAAGAGATTTTTATCTGACTTTACAAAGGATTCCTGCAGAATAAAGTTGCCTGTGAAGGAGACTATAGACTAACWTGACACAATCAGGGCGAAAGGAGGGAGTCCCTCCTTTCKCCCTGGMCACAATATCAGGGAAATAACTGCCCATACAGAGCTGGCTGTGAATGAGTYTTATATAAACATCTTACTGTTTGAGTTGAAAGACATCTGCAGTGACTAGAATATCATGTCCCAGAAGATACAGCGTTGCAATTAAGTCACTCCATTGGACGAGCTCCCCAAGAGGGCCTCCTTTTTTCGCATCTGCTGCAAAATGTAGCGTTCTTTCATTGGCTAAAACTCCTATGTGAATCAGAATCTGAAAACGAATAGAAAATTGTTTTATAGTCCTATTTTGCTGCAAAATCTACAAAATCAAAATTTTATGTATGTCATTGCACAGCTAAAAATGTATGCAAATTTTAGTGCAAATTTAGGGTGTTCCTACTTTTTTAACGAGAAAAATTACTAGTAAATCAGTCGAAGCACAAAATCACACCAAAGAAAAATGCATAAACAAATAGAGCCCATTGCTCTAACCAACCCATGACAGAGACGTTTATTAAGAGCAGAAAGTCWGCAGGATAAAGTACCTTTTTCTGAATAGCAGACTTAGATATATTGTATGAGCGTTTGAGTCTATTCATTGCATCTATCCAATCGGGCCACATCTGTCTAATTCTGTTCTTGATCCATTCAAATTTRATTGGGCTTTTATCATTCAGTAGGGCAAGCAGTTTCTCAACATCTTGACGATCTAAATCCTACAAATTAAAAGAACAATTACAAGAACAATGTGAGGAATACATGTTTCAATTGCGCTCTTTCGTTATAATGTAACATCAAAATATTCTATTGTTTTATAAAGCTAAGGATAATGGTTGCCAGCTAGATGGGACCAGAGTGACTGAATATCAAATAAAATGTATATACTTAGTCAAACTTTGATATGACATATAACGAAACATGATACATTAAAGTTCAAAATTTCTACTGTTTTTGAGCATCTTTCCCTGATAAACATACTATGACGTCATAATGAAATAGGGAAAAAATCTCTTTCAAAGTTATAGCAATTGAAAAGGCATCTGTAGAGTGTGAATTGTTGTTAGACACCTCCTTCATAATAGTTTGATATGTCATAATAATAATAATAATAATAATAATAATAATAATAATAATAATAATAATAATAATAATAATAATAATAATAATATAATAATAATATGACGGTATAAGTTTATCTGCCCTTACTGCAGGTTGACTTATATCCGGTTTAATATCGTCAGTTGGTTTTATGCGGCCAGGAAGAAGAGGACACCAGTTTTCTACCTGAGAAAYAACAACAACATCTTTGTTAGAGTTGCTAATTAAGTAGCATTGGTCAATAATGAAGAATTTTTTTTTTCAAAATATGCATTTATAATTTTCTGAATCTTAAAAGGAAATTACATGTAATCCTTTGGCATTTGCAATCATAAAATGTTCTATCATACCTCACTTAGATATATCAAGAAAGAGCATACTGTTCCATTGACTCCATAGTCCTGAGCATAACATGGATCAGATTTCCAGAAATTCCTCATCCACTGTATGGGTGGAACAAGAATATATGTGAATGCAATATTATAAAGCTTTCTTAATTARAATGATAACATTTTGGACAATAAATGATGCATTTTTTCTTTCTTTTTTTTTTTTTTTTTGAAAGTCTGCTGGGTGTGACTGCATGGCAATAACCATATTTGTGAACTATTGCAGACCCTACATTCTGATTGGCTATGCTACTTGGGATCTATTTTCTATAGTCCTCAACTAGTCAAAAATGCGCCAACTTTGATTTTCTTTTAGAAATTTTTATGACTTTTGAAAATGATGTGATGTCACAGTCGCTGAACAGGGCACTAGGGACGAAGCTCTTAAACAAGTTCTAATGCCAGCCTCCATATAGTAAACTTTGATGGAGTCTTGCAAGAGTATTTTGTGCATGGTAATTAATACTAAAAAAACCCTTCAGCCTCATCATGGACTATCAGCTCGTAGTCCACAGCTCGTCCTTACTAGTTAACAATTAGACCTTGAGGTCGAGTGGACTACGGGCTAATAATTGTTTTAGTATAAACATACTAATCGGTCAAATAATGAAAACAAATTGAAATATTCTTAAAATAATTTATTAATGAGATTGATTTTTCCCGCGAGTGGTCTATCACAAATTAGACCATTAGTAGAGTAGCCAATCACAGTGCAGTATGAGTGATTGACCATTAGTATGTTTATACTAATGATAAATAGTCTCCTTCAGGGTTTCCTCTGTCCCATTTTGATAGCCATGCCTTCGCATCAAAGTGAGATGACCATTGAGTATGCAATGATAAAAAACATCTTGCTTCATTGCAAAGGCATGGCTACTATACCTTTCAAGATCACACCACAGGGATCTCATTCACAAAACTAATTGCAGTGTATATATAAAGTGAGGCTGAGTGGCTATGAATTAGTTAACCCCTAATGAATGTACTCACAGCTACTTTGGCCATGCAAGATGGATAAGATGGAGATTCGGGAACTTCACAGTCAGTTTTAAATTTTCTACCAGGTATCTTAGGACACCAATTTTCAACCTACAGTGTATTGCAAGGTCATCATTATCAATAATTATTCTTTAAAGTTTATTGACATGATAATCAGACTAAATTAAATATATATAGAATTGACGTCAAGAAATTTTTATCAATTTAATGACCTTATTTCTGTACACCTCTTCCACAAAAATAAAAGATATAATGTTGACCCCCCTCTTTAAACTAAGACAGGAAGGCAATTGGAACCTCATGTTTGGATTTTACCTCACTCAAGAAATGAAGAATTGAACAATCGCTACCATCAACACCTCTTCCTTGATATAKTGGGTTTGATTTCCAGAATTTTTTCATCCACTGAAATAATAATAAAATAAATTACTTCAATTTACACTAAATATAAAAATGTATACAAATTAAACTAAAAACAACGAAGTTCTACTATTTACACTTAATTATTACAGAGAGAGTAAMAAATATAGACAACAACAACAAACGATCAACAAAAGATCAAAAAAGGAAAATTCAACAATCTGTCAAATGAAGAAAAATGTGAGATAATAGCTTACAGGATCGTGGTAACTTTTGCATTCTTAGAAATGGTCATAAATACCTGAACTTTTTCTAAGCAATGAGGAAAAGCAGAATCTTGTGGAATATTACAGTTCAAAGATGATTTTACTTTTGTAGGACACCAACTTTTAACCTACATTACATCATTAAATAAAAACAAATTAAATARGTGGTTGCTAAATTTCACATAGCTACCTTGTAGCCCGCAAAAAAGTTAGAAACTAAGTGAATTCACAACATAAGAAAAAATGTATTAGCTAGCAATTTCTGAAGATTTGAATGYAATTGGTATATATTAACTAAGGGAAATCATGTGCTAAATGTCAGGTTTTCCCAGCAATGTCCCGGGTGCATGTACTCTTGTCAATCACTAATTAAAATGTTTACAACTATGCAACACACATAGTTGTATATGTGAAAAGTAATGATTGTAAAAAAAAAATCTCTTGTCTTTTGAAATAACATTATGTTAAAAAAAAATGTTTACAGATAGATTTTGTATTTCTATTAGTTCCTAGCTGGAATAGCCAGCATAATGCAGTGACTAGAGCTCTGTATTTTAGTACAAATGTGAATCACACCATGCCAGACCTTGATGCTGGTGTAAGTCCCCTTACGACACCCTACTGGTACTCAACATRYAACATTCTCTTGGTTTGGGTTCTGTTAAGAACCTTGAGTGGAATATTCTGATTGTATGAATACAACACAGTATTTCTAGCTTTATAACTGCCTTAGTTAGTTTATACCAAAGATGACTAATGCACTAACAAGGGTAATGAA